TATTATTGCCATATCGGTGAACGCTGGCGAATAAGCATTTTTTTCTTTTTAGTATTTCACTAGTAACTTAAATTTTTCTCTCTTTTGTTTTCATTTACAATTTTGCAACTTCTTTTTATTCCCAACAAAAATTTCTTTATGAATGTTTAAGTCTATATTTTTAAGTACTTTATTTATTGTTGATATCTTGGTCGTATATAAAATTTATTGAATTGTTTATTTTTAAATATCACTTAGCGGAAATTCATTCGCAATCTTAAATTGTTATCTAATTACCAAATAACCGAAAGGTTTTCTATAGTAATGTTTTATTTTTTATTCTTTTTATTTTACAATAAAAATTCTGTTGGTAAATTAAACTTAGGTTTGATATTGCATGATTTTTTCAAGCTGGTCAAACATACTTTTTATCTATATATATTTTGTAGAATCAAACTTACTATTCATTTATTATCTACACAAAAAACAACTGCGTGCATTTTAGTAGGAGAATTTTGAAGATGCAACCTTTATCGTCTCGAAGGCATTGGATATAGAATTTGCGAGTGCGCTAGAGAGAGCTAATTTTAGATATGAAATGTGATATATGTGCTTTGTTGAGTTCATGTTGGAAGGGAATTCAATTTCACCAAAAAACAAAATGAAAATTATTCGCACTCTTCTTAGATAAGTCTTTGCGTGGCGTGACATTTCCATATGGATTGTGGAGGAATTTGATTCACTGCATCATTAGATGTAAATCAAACCTTTTTCAATAAAATCCTACCATTAGAAAAATGAAGTTTTTCTGATGGCCTCAAAGAAGCAGAGTTGCTCTTAATTTGTAATGCATAATTTAACAGAGCTTCAAGGCTTCTTATATTACCATTATTCGTCTCCACTACTCTCGCATAATTGTACACAATTTGGTTTAGGGTGTCAGATATAACTAAGTGTTGACCCAAAAAAATGTACCGCTGATGTGACCAATAGATCACAAGGTCTCTCACGTCCACACAAACTTGGTTCGTGCACATTTGGACAAATCGTTGGTCACACGTGGCCTTCTTCGATGTTGTCTTGTCAGTTACAATGATCCGTTTAGGATCTCTTCATCACCTCATCCTGGACCAACTCTTCCTGTGGGTTCCATGTGTAATGGGGTCAACCCAGCTTTATTTTGCTGGAGGAAACGGGCCGTCCACACTTGAGGGCCGATCCAGCTTCGCCTCATGTTAGTGTACAGGGAATGGGACTGTCGAACCGTTTGCCACGCAGGAGGGTTGAGGTCACGTGGGAGTCCTTGTGTAGAGAGACGTAACACTAAGTTCAAGAACCTTGTACACGTTTTACTTGATAACTAGAATCAGCAGTAATATTTTTCTGTAATGTGAAAGAAGGAATAAAAAGTTACCGGTTTCATGTCGAAAAATATTTATTGCAGCGTAAGCTTTCTCTGTGGTATGGACTGTTCTCTAAAGTCCAAATGGAGATTAACAAATGCAGGCTGCACAGTGAAGTGCAATTAGGACAAGTAAAACTGAATCAAGTACTGATTCTGCAGTAATGAGTATAAGCTTTATATCATTGTCCACACAAGAGCATACCAGATGCCTTTTTTGTCATAAGATACTGAAAATTATTTTAGAATTGAAACCCAATAATTGATCCAATATAAAAAAATATGGGACTTGAATTTGTAGCTAAAATGCTACTTACAAGGATACATGTTGACCTATCCAACTCCTGATTTAGGAACCTGAAAGTGTATTAACTATGAGATTATCGAAGTTTAGAAAGGTATGCGTGCAACGTAACATTAATTTGCAGACAAAATTTTGCATTCCATTGATAAGTTAGCCAAAAATGATGGAGTAATCAATGTGTTAGGACAAGCCACATGAGATAAAAGCACAATCTTGAGTGAGTTACTTTTCAAGTAATTTTTTTCCCTACAGCCACTGGCGGACCCGGGGGTCCTGGGAGGCACGGGCCCCCAACTTTTGAGAATTTTTATTATTTTTTTATTTTTTATTTTTAAAGTCATATTTGGTATCGATTGAAATCTAAATTTTAATCTAAATCAAAGTTAACAATTAATTTTGACAACATATTTCATGAAATTCATAACTGTTTTACTTTTATCAAAATTTACTAAAAGATTGATTTTAATTTCCACCAAAAAAAAAGGCAAAATCACAATAAGCCCCCGTTTGACACCCATTTTTTTCTCATTCTCATTCTCATTCTTTTTCTCTTTTTTCATTTCAACCACACATTCTATCAATAAAATAATATTACACATAAACCTAAAAATTCTCTTTACTTTTCAACCACATATTCTTCCATCAATCACTATTCAAAAACACATTTTTTCACAAAAATGGGTGTCAAACACCCCCTTAAATTTGAATTTCGATATCATGCTAGTTTTAAAAATTCTCCGATGGTCGTACGCTAATCGAATCTACAAATTGTTTATGTCATGTCAAAGCTTATTTCGAGAACGACATTATGGGCACATCGAATAATCCAAACATATATAAAAAATAGTTAAAAATACATTAAACATGAGTCTTAAAGAAAGACGACTAACTCGCATTTTTTTAAAAAAAAATTCAATGTAATTTTCATCATTTTATTATGAAAATTTATTATTTTTACGATAATAAATTTATTATTTTCATCATTTTTACGATACAAATTTTTAAATGTAATTTTCATCATTTTATTATGAAATTTTATATGGAATATAACATCAAAAAATTTCGAAATTTTACATCTGAAAAAAATTATATCCCATATAAATTTTCGGATGCAAAATTACACGGGATATGATTTTTTTGGGCTTAAATTTTCGATTGTAAAATTTCTCCCAATTTCTTTACAAGTTCAATTGTGTCCCCCTAACTTTGAAGCTCTAGGAGCTTAGTAAAAGTAACTTTTAAGCCGAAGCATGTTTTGGTAGGCTTCTCTCCTTAGGTCAACCCAAACATGCTTCAGGTTTGCCCTTCTCGATCAAGTTGCAACTTCGAGTAGAGCTAGCAATTAACCAGAATCATGTACCTGACTACCAAATTTATTGAGAAAATGGCCTTTTTTTTGTTGCAATCTTGAATGTGTTATTACAATCAACATATTTACCACAAATACACTCTGATAGATTAAGGTTCAGGTACTTTTTGGTGCACTCATGTGTACTGACTGCACTAGGAAACAAATAAATGTCTCAATCCCACTTGTAAGAGAATGAAAATATAAGGAATCCAAAGCTGCATTTGGATGAACAGAGTCTGAATCGAAGGCCATGGTTGGAGAAACTAGACAAAACTCTTCTTTTCAATTGAATTTTCCAAACCTAAAATAATCCAGTTTAGAGTTATCAAAAACTAATGCATGATTAATTAATGACAATGGCGTTTTAATCAAAGAGAAACAAACACAAGAAACGACACAGTACTGTGCTTTGGAGCCCCACAAATCATTCCATCTCCAATAGCAAAAATCCATTTGGTAAACCCCACAATCAATACATTAATCAGATTTTTTCGTTCCAGATTTTAAATATTTGAAATTTAACGTTCCAAAACCGTTGATTCACAAAATTGATTAAAATAAGGTGCCTTTATTTTGTCTCTTCCTCTGTGTCCTTTTTTCTATATGATTGTATCCTTTGTTTAAGCTGTTGCTCATAATTCATACAGAAACATGATTTGAATAGCATGGCCAACATGACCAACCTTTTGCCCAAAAGGAAAATGTCAAATGTGTTCAGACTGTAAAGAAGAAATGAACTGTTGTAAAACAAGTCAATTTGCAATAATTTGGTGATAAAACTTATACCACTTGTTATGAATATTAAAGTCAAGAAAATACGACAAGATGAAAAGAATCACACAAGAACACAAGATTTAACGTAGAAACTAAAATCCGGGAAAACCACGGGCAGATGCAATGAATTCACTATGATCAATAGACCTATTTCAAAGTATGCGAGTCTCTCTCTAATCTAGATCCTCTTACTTTGATGTTCTTTCAATGTTATACAATATTTTGCTATGCTCTCACAAGGTTATCAAGGTTATATATCACGTGGAGTATATATAGGAATTCATTACAAGTGTTTTGGATGAAATACAATAAAAGAAACGAGTCAAAATCGAAAAGGGATTTTCACCAGGATAGCACTGCCTCTAGAGCGCCAGGAGGGCGGTTGCTCCACTGCTCAAGCGAAACTTTGGCACCAGACGTGCTCTAGCTCTCTACTCCATTTTTCACCCCCGATGCTCGAGTGCCAAAGATAGCGGCCAGCTAGTGAAATTGTGACGACTTTTTCTCCACCAAAACTCCAAAACCAAATCTTTAATTATCCGAAGTCCTTTTACCATTCAAACTTGCAATCCTTGATGAATTTTTATCTCTTTTTCAACCGGATTTCCATACCACGAAGACTCTTGTTCCTTTTATCAATTTACCAACTCAAGTCTTAATCCCAATAGGAATTTGGGTCATACTCCAACATGAACGCTAAATTCTTATGAATTGTATTATCGAGTAGGGCATAACAGTTACCGAACATATTCTACTAGTACTATTTATTGCTGCAGATCAGCATACGCATAACATATTCTTCAGAAGTACATAGTTTTCATAATGATGTATTCTTCCACGGGTTGGAAATATGTGAGTTCTTCTATGTTAGTTGGTAGCCAACCTCTGATTAAGCTGTTTTTACATTTTATTATCTTTGTTTTATATGCAATGATTATATTTCGAATTTTTTAATTGGAGTTTTAACTAGCTACGCATTTGCAGGTAAATCCAAGCTGATAAAGTTTAGAATTGCATTAAGCGTGTAAGAGATGACTAATTAGGATATAGACAAAGCAAATAATTGAGAAGAGTATACACAAATTACAATTAAACCTTGTGCTTGGTTGGCCTAGTATAAATAGAGCGACGGATTAGTATCATAACTTGTCATCTGTACTTCCCAAGCAAACCATAAAACCACTGCATCAATGGCTGGATGTGACGCGACAAAAACTACCATAGCCTCGACCACCACCACAAGGGCACAACCAACAAAATCTAAAGCAACTCGTAGATTTGTTGGTGTGAGACAAAGGCCTTCAGGCAGATGGGTTGCTGAAATTAAGGACTCGTCTCAGCGTGTAAGATTGTGGCTTGGAACTTATGACACCCCTGAAGAAGCTGCATGCGCTTATGATGAAGCAGCTCGTGCCTTGCGTGGAGAAAATGCACGGACAAACTTTGCTGCAGTGAATACAAATCAAGTCATTTCATCTGATTCAAATGGGAATGGAACGATATCTGAATCTGATACCAGGCATGGACTAAGTTTTTCTTCCTTGAAAGCTAAGTTAAGCAAGAATTTGCAGAGTATCATAGCCAGGAACTCAGAGAATAAGGCAACCAAGAGTAGAGTAAGCGACCACTTTACTTTTGCTAGTATCTTTCACTTCCGAGGCTATAATCAATACAATCAAAATCCTGCCGATATAAAGAAAATAGAGAAGGCGGTGCAACCAAGCGTTATTGTGCCTCGTGTTTCTGATGATCCCTTATCGTGGGAGAGTTCGAGCATCTCAGATTACAGCAACGAATGGACTAGTTTCCGGTACCATGGAATGGATTCAGATGGATCAGATATGAATGAAGTTTATAATTTTGGTGAACAAGGGTTCGGGGATCAAAATATGGGGTGGATTAGTAGTCCAGATGTGATGAGTACTAATGGAAGCGAGGAGTCACGAAGCAAGAGGTTTAAGGTTTCTTCCTCGGTAGTCGTTCCTCCAACATTTGGTGAATCTCCAATCCATGGTGATTGGTGAAAACAGCTAGTGGCTCAGTATACGGTGAAACAAAAACTGTTCTGTTGGAGCCTTCTGTTTAATCACTAGTCTAGGCGCAGATGATGCTTGAAATGCAAAATGCTTTCTACCAAAGGGTGAAAAGCCAATGCTTGCTTCTACCTTTTTACTTCTTAAAAACATGTACAGTGAAGGAGAGAAAAAGACGTTCAAGTCAATCAATAAAAGATCAATAGTTGTTTGCTTTACTCGCAGTGACATGATCATTCTTTGTTCGGGTTTGATTGTGCCATAACTCTATTGTTCAAATTAGGCTTATTGAATTGAGTTGCTAATATCGACCCCGAATCTTGTTGGGATTATACCTCTGCTCAAATTGATCATAGAAGATTGTGTTCTGATCTAATCATAATTAGTAGCTGTTCCCAACAGGCAAAAACAGCAGGTTGATATACAAAATGACTTATTGTTCAAGTACTAGAGAAAATAACTACAGTGCTTAAACAGACAAAACTAATTGGAGCTTTCTAAGCATCATTCTTATTCATCAAGTAGGTAGTTTTGTATTTATATACACAAATTTATATGTAATGTCCCTTTTAGCTAGGTGAAGTACTATGGAATTGGACATTTTATCAAAAGAAGAATATTGCTGATTTCATCAAACATTGATTGAAATTCTAAGTTTGACTACATACTCATCTCGCATGCGCTACATGTGCGCTGTATAGAGTGGTCTCAAGACGAGACCAGTTGGTTAAAGAAACCCCAGGATTTGTGGTGAGACGGACTTCTTTCTGGCCGGCCATACCGGTCAAACCATCCCACTTTGAGCAGGCCTTGAAGCAATAGACAACCCCATAAGTGTACCTTAAAGTTATCTATCCATGTTGTCAATACCCGCATAAGATGGATGGCTCTTGAATCTCCCATCGATGATGTTTCTTCCATAAATATAATAAAAAATTTTGGTTCTTTTCATAAAACGAACACTTGAGATTATCATAATACTAGAATGTTAATGATTGGATGTCTGCTGTTGTCATGTTGTGAATGGTTTGTCCTTACAAATTCAATTGATATGACAACAGAACATTAATGATTACACTTGCATAGTTGCATTATGTAAGTAATGTTAATTACTAGGAGAAATGCATTCTGTTTACTTCAACTAAGAAGATCACAAAATTCATCGAGGTCTACATAATCTCCACCGTACTAGCCCTCGTTAACACAGATGCTTCACCATCTAAAGAGTTCACCATCACCACACGTTCCTTCATATCTTCCACATACGTATAGAAATTCCCTAATCCACACGGCTGAGCCCAGAGCATGGCTATGATACAACTTTGTTACAACTTAGGGTTCCATCTTATTATGAGTAGGAGTATCGTCCAATATTTAGACTTCTGTTATCCACATGACTGAGAGTAGAGCATGAGTGCATGACCATGATACAAACTTTGTTACGACTTGGGATTCCATCCCATTAGGCGTAGGAGTTTTATCCCATGTATGGACTTTTGTTTGCATGTCTCCAACAACTCGTTATATCTAATATTGCGGGCATCGCTGTTGGGCGGTGAGTTGTCAAGTCATTGAATTTTCAAGCTTGAAATATTCTGTAATGGATAATGTACAAATCTGTGCAAAAAGATGCACCGAGTCCAATCTAAATTGTCAAGCCCTGCCAGCCCATGAGGAGCCTTAATATTTATTTATTTATTTATTTTATTTTTTATTTTGAGGATGAAGAGCCTCAATTATTTGGAAGAAATTTTTTATTTTTATATTTCACACATTATACAGAGATTTTCTTTGACTTGGTCTATCTCTGCAAATTGTAAAGTGAAAATTATGTTATTAAGGTAGCATGAAGCCTATTACAAAAATGATTAGTCTAAATATACACAATCCATTACATAATGAATTACACCCCCTCACATGGAGGGGGTTCACGCACAATAAAATATTCGTGGGGCCCCCTCCATGTGAGGGGAGTGTAATCTATTAGGTAATGAATTTGGTGTACATCTAGTACAACCCAAACAAAAATGACCCAGCATTTACCTAATTTTTTGGTTTTTTTTATTTTATTTCTAAGAAAACTTGAAGTTCATAAACAGGCTAGTATGTTTAAGTACTTTTTTTTTTTTATAGTATCACTATCATCTTACATAAAATCAAAAATAGATAAGTTTAAGTACTCTTTTCGACTTGCCGCTTCAACCTTTAAGCACTCTTTCAAACGTAATAATCAAACATGATACGACTTAACTCTCTCTCTAAATTGCACCCAACACCATCTTGTCCCCGTCTTTTTTTTTTTTTCATTTTTGATCGTTAATGAATTGAGATAAGAAATGCACGCAAAAATAAGGTGTAAAATCGAGCTATTATTGAACAGCTTGAGTCATTGCCAACACATTCTTATGTAGTGTTATTACTGCTCTCAATTTCTTTTTCTTTTTTTCAAAAAAAAACATAGATGTGGCACGTGCCAAATCGATTGTGGGCATTATGTGCCCGTTTGGCCTCATTATTACACACTGAGAGAAATAATAATTTTTTGGAAAATGTATGGTTAAAAAATAAGAAAAAGTTTTTGAATTTATATATAATATTACTTTATTTAAAAATATATAATTGTTGAAAATAAAAAGAATAATAAATTATAATTTAACAGAGAATAATGGACGCGGAGCTGTATCTTCTGAAGATATCTGTTAAAGAGCTATGGATAAGTTGACAAAAACGATGACATTGACAACTGAACTGTCCCACCTCACGTGAAAAATTAGAGATCTGCCATATCAGCCCCCAGTCGTCGGTGTGGAGAATACTTTCAAATTTCAACCAATCCCAACGGTCTTTTGCACTGTTCCATCGCCTTAATCCTTGCCGTCCATTCCTTAACTCGCTCGCTCCCCCAAAACACACAAGATACACGCTACTAGGCAGATACGTGTTTGTGTATATTTTAGACAGAGCTCTGTCATTTTCTTCCACCATAGAGAGAGAGCGGGGGTGGGATGATTTTGATTTTGAATTTTTTTTTGGATTTTTCAATGTGAGCAAGTGTTGTCTCTGTTGGCATTGTCGGGTTGTCTCTTCTTCTCAGTTTTTTATTTGAAACTTGACAGTAAATTCTCTCTGCATGTTAGCTATATCTTCGTCATCTCTGAGAGAAGAAAACTTTTCTGTAAAGATTTTGATTTGAAATCGTAAGCTAGAGTTCTGGGTTTCTCTTTAAAGATTCAGATAACAGAGCATTGGCATCAACTTCTGTTCCAAATGGAAACGTTTCTTGATATTTTTTGAAAGTATCCGTGCATCATACGCATCAAATTACATTGCTTGCAGTTTTTCTTGGCTTCTTTCTGGAGAGAAAGAGATTGTAGCTTCTGGTGGTCGAGTCTTAAAGGTTGGATCTTTAGATTCATATGCACCGTTTCAAAGTGATAGACAATCAAAGTTTCAATTTTTTTCTGAGTTTATATAAAATAAATAGGTACTGACCGATCTATCAATGTTTTGAATGATTTCTCTGACTGATGCAGATATTTTTTCTTTCTTTCTTGCAGAGAGAGTTGAGTAGCATTTTGGCTGATAAAGATTTTGAGTGCCTTGCAAAGAATGAATCAATTTGAGGTAATATTCCTTTTATGGGGTCTTAATTGCTTCAATTATTTTTGAAATATTTATCAGAAATTCAAATAAATTCCATGTATATACAAATAACTGGAGATGGAGATTCCTATCTTGTCTTCAAGACAAAGTCATTTCCCATTCCAATGATTCCATGGAAATGAAGTCAAAAATTGGGAAGAAAAATTCAAAAATAGAATTTGTGGACCCCTTTGGGAATCCTGCCTGCCATTGGATTCGATGGATCATAGTACTTTAAAATTTTAAATTGTTTTCTACTGTACGATTCTCCATCACACATTCACACAATAAAATATTCTATACACAATTCAATAAAATTTTCTTATTTTTTAACCACACATTTTTCATCAATCTGCTATTCTATAATACGTTACAAAAAATTGATGGCTCTCAAACATGGCCTCATTTATCCAAAGCTGCTGGGATTATTTTAAGCATCAACAGCATGCAAATATGCAATTCACATCACAGGTTATGAAAAGTAAAGCTGCCTGATTTACACCAGATTACCTTTATGCCCCTTACATCTGTGATATTTTCTTCCATATCTACCGTGCAAATAATTTGACTGTACTTCATGGATGTAAGGGCATTTTCGAAATATCAAAACTCTACCACTTGCAATCTTGCATTTATTGGACGGCAGTAAACGCCGTTGGAAAGTTCCACCTTTCACTTTCATCTGTACAGGCTTTCAGCTGTCATTTTACATAATTTATTTATTTTTACGTTCCTTTGCATTTGAAGATCATTGATAAAAAGCGTTTGATTAAACGCGTGGGGGCTTTTGATCAGTACGTGATATTTTTTACCTGCGGGCTCGGCTAGCCGTCATTTTCAGTAAACGGGCATATTGTGATAATGCAAGATTCTCGAACTCCAACACCCACCCCAATGTCAGTCCCTTCTTCTTTATTAATGCGATTTTTAAATGGTTATAGTGCTAAAATTTAATATTTTATGATTGCAACTGGTCCACATCTTTAATTTCTCTATATTCCAAAAGTTTGTGTCTTTTACCATTTTGCGAAAGCAAGCCACCGCCTTGGAAATCTTATACTTCATCTGAAGTTTACTCTTTCTTGTCTTGTGATCTATTTGCTACCTACCTGTTCATTCTTCTTGCTGGCGAAATCCAAGTCTCTCATAGTAATTCGGTGAGTTGTGGTAAAAAATTGAATTATTGGTGTTAATAAGGTATTCTGATCGATCCATGTTGAAAAAAATGAATTTTCTGCATTAATTCTCAAATGGGTCGTTGTTGCTAAGGTTTGATTTTCCTATTTTCAGGTACTTCCAGCTTTGTTTAAGGTTTGATTTTTTTTTAATTTAGTTGAATCATGGTCGAAGACGGAATAGAAAATTTGGTGGCTGATAATCTGTCGGCTGAGGAATGTCTATCTCGTGTTCAAGGGCTTGTTCCGAAGGCTCTGGAGAAATCCAGGGAGGTTAAAGGATTCCCTGGAAGGTGGAAGATGATCATTTTGAAATTGGAACAAGTTCCTTCAAAATTATCGGATTTGTCTAGCCACCCTTTCTTCTCAAAGAATGCACTCTGTAAGGAGCAATTGCAGGCTGTTTCAAGGACATTGAATGATGCAATTGAGTTGGCGGAGTGTTGTCTGAAAGAGAAATTTGAGGGAAAACTTAAAATGCAAAGTGATTTGGATTCTCTTTCTGGTAAACTTGATTTAAATTTACGCGATTGTGGGCTTCTGATCAAAACTGGAGTGCTTGGAGAGGTTAGTTTGCCATTGGCTGAACAGGTGGCTGCTTCAGATCATGGCAATATAAGAGAATTGCTCGCTCGACTTCAGATTGGGCACCTCGAGGCTAAGCATAAAGCACTTGATTGCCTTGTCGAAGTCATGAAAGATGATGAGACGAACGTGTTGACCGTTTTAGGACGAAGCAATATTGCAGCTTTAGTTCAATTGCTGACTGCTACTTCTACTCGGATCAGAGAAAAAACTGTTACTATTATTTGTTGGCTTATAGAATCTGGAAGTTGTGAGAATTGGCTTGTTTCTGAAGGTGTTCTTCCGCCCCTTATAAGGCTTGTTGAATCTGGTAATGCAGTGAGTCGAGAGAAGGCTACGATTTCTCTCCAGAGGTTGTCTATGTCAGCAGAAACATCCCGCTCCATTGTTGGCCATGGTGGAGCTAGGCCTCTGATTGAGATCTGTCAGACTGATGCGTCTGTTTTGCAAGCTGCTGCGGCTTGTACATTGAAGAATATATCCGCTGTGCCTGAGGTGCGGCGCGCCCTTTCAGAAGAAGGGATTATAAAGGTGATGATTGATCTTCTTGAATGCGGAACCCAGTTGAGATCTAAAGAGTATGCAGCAGATTGCTTACAAAATCTCACATCAAGTAATGACAATCTTCGGAGATGTGTTATTTCAGAAGGCGGAATAAAAAGTCTTCTGGCTTATTTAGACGGTCCACTGCCTCAAGAATCTGCAGTTGGGGCATTGAGAAACTTGGTTGGAGTGATTTCAGTTGATGTTTTGGTTTCATTTGGCCTTCTTCCAAGGCTGGTACATGTGCTTAAATCAGGTTCTCTTGGTGCACAAAAAGCAGCAGCCTCAACAATCTGTCTAATCTGCACCTCAACTGAAATTAAACGATTAGTGGGTGAATCTGGATGCATTCCTCTTCTCATAAAGATGCTGGAGGCTAAATCTATCAATGTGAGGGAGATTGCATCACAAGCAATTTCGAGTTTGATGACCCTTTCCCATAATTGTAGAGAAGTTAAAAGAGATGACAAAAGCGTTCCAAATTTGGTAGTCTTGCTCGATCCAAGTCCTCAGAACACAGCCAAAAAATATTCAATTTCCTGCCTGTCTTTGCTTTCCTCGAGCAAAAAGTGTAAGAAGTTGATGATTTCATATGGGGCTATTGGTTATCTCAAGAAGCTTACTGAGATGGACATTCCCGGTGCCAAGAAGTTACTTGAGCGTTTAGAGCGAGGAAAGCTGAAAAGCTTGTTCAGCAAGAAGTAGGAGAACCCAATGTTGTCTAATGGAAGTATACTTTTGATAATTGTTTCATTGCCTGAATGAATCAAAGTAGTAATAATGGTACAAGCTGAGAAGCATAAACATGAAAATCTATGTGATCAATGCCTTGTTTTGTATAAAAACGTAGTATTACTTCAGTTCTATCCACTTTTCTTGCGCCTTTATTTGATGGTTTAGGAAATGCGTAAATATATTTGATGTTTGTTGACTTCTAAGATAATTAGATTGTGTACTCTCTTGCAGGGCTGTCTTCCATCCCTTATGAATAAATGGATGCTTTACCCTGTTAGTATACGGAATTCAATCTACGAAACATTTGCCGTCTTATTTTTTGTTAAAATCGTAAGTTTATGTGGCTCAACTGGTCTTGAGTTTAACTTCTCATTTTCTTTTTAAAAAGTTCCGAAGATTGTTTATTGTATTGTTTTGATTGTAGCACGCATATTGGAAAGTTTTCACATGACATCTAAAAGATATGTTCTGTGTTATAGTGGCATCAACATATGGGATGTTTCGAGCAACCGGGATCGAGCATTAATACATGTAACATTCCATGTGTTTATGCCAACTTTTTTTTTGGGATGTGAAAGAGCGGTTGAAGTGGACATTGCAAAATGACAGCATTATTTTGGGATAAAAATGTAGAACCAACATAAATGAATGTTGGGGATGAAAGTTTCTTTTTTTGGGACAGTAATAGCTCGTGTACATTTCTTACACTTCTTTGTTCTTAATTTATTCAAAGCATATATACACTGATAAACATACAGATCCTTAGTCTAACTCTAGCATGAGTGGGAGTGTTTTGACAAAACTGAATGGCTTAAAATAGGTCTGGTAATCATTATTGTTTTGCCTCAACCAAACTTTTGTGTAGATTTGCCAAGATTAGTTTGTGCAGACATGACAAAATCATTAGAAACTTCATCAGCACTTCCAAGTTGAAGCTCTGGCTAGTCCTCCCTGGAGGACTCTGAACCAAGTGGGAAGCACTGTTGCAGCACGGGGTTCATTTGGTACATAGTATTAAATCGTACCGAACTTTACAATGAGTTCAAGATTTTAGTTTCTTTGTTCCTCAACACTAAAAGATTTTTGTACCTAGCATGGGGGAAATCCTAGTTGTAGCAGTTCATAATCCAGAACAATTTGTTGCATATGATATGGAAGAAATCTGGTCATCATGAAGGCATAGAGCTTACTCGTGTATGTAATTACATTAGAAGTTTAAGAGTTTACTTTGTGTTTGTGAGTTTGCACGTCGCATATATACGTATTTCGTACTTTCTAAAACGAAAATAGAGTTATTGGCAAATTTTCTCCAACGTCGAAATATTTCAAAATGTTTTTTTCCTCTTTATCTTTTTATTTTCTGATCTGAATTAACCCAATGTGCAGTTTAAGTTTATAAAAAAGGGCAAATCGCAGCCATTATCTCCAGTGGTGACTCATTCACAATGCATTCAACACAATTTCTGGTTAATTATAGTCCTAAACACATCAGAGAAAGTACCATGCGAAATGCATTAGTAGATTACTTTCAATATCATACAAGAGCGTCGATATTTTGTTAAATCAGATGGGTGTTGCATAACATTTATCCAGTCGATACAGATGTACCTATATTGCGGAATGAGGTATTCATCCAATTAGTCCTCATCATCATTCCATACAAATGGATGATTGGGTATAATCTGTATCTGCAACAAATTCTCCAGCTGACGGACGTGATCCCGCAGTGCCCCTTCTTCTGGTTCAACTATATCCGTCTCCTCTTCATGAGAAAAACTTTTCAGAACAGAATGGAAAGCCTCAGGATTATACTTCAGTTGCAAGTCTCCAGATTTTTTGAGGCCCTGTAATTCGAATGCAGGACTCAGGGGACGTCCCAGAACCCGAACATAACACACACTGCAGCATGCAAATGATATAGCAGTTAGATCTAATGGCAGCCACTGGTAAAGGAAATTGCTTCACGACCCATGCAGATTATTCTCCGATTTTCATTACCAATTAGTATACTTACAATATATACAACCACCTATCCAAATTCTTCCACAAGCATTGATCTCTATAATTACTGCTTTACCATGATCTCGAAAAGATGAACAATAATCAATTGGTTTATTTTGAAAATAACGAGCGTCAACTGTCAGCCATCTAGCGGAAGGTTTATAACTGATTTTACTATGTATTCACGTGTTATTCATCATCTTACATGTCCTGTGTTCATTAGTTCAGAAGTCGTGCTTTAAATAGTCATGTGTGCATGCATGACAGTTTCTGTCAACCTGTAATTTAAGGGGATGGTTCGCCCGGCGCGAGCTCGCAGGCTCATTTTCTTGATTCAATTTTAACAAATCTCAATCCCTACTAATATAAAAGAGGCAATCCGCTGGCTACTGTTCATTTGTGAAGCACTTTGCATTCCCATGTTATCCCCCATCAATTAATGGTTTTCCCATTTTATCCTTCCCACACCAAAATTTGGCCGTCTTTATTGACTTAATTGATACCGGTATTTATTTATAATATAAAAAATTAAA